CCTCCCCCAGACCGTGCTGACTGTGTATCGATAAAGATGGAAAAAATCTGTTCTGTGCGAGGGTTTTTGGGGGAAAATCTGGGAAAAACGGGGAAAAAAAAATGGGGAAAAATCTCAGGGAGTTCAGGGAGGGGGTGGGAGAGAAATTTTGGGGAGGCTGGGGCTCGTTGAGTCGGTTTTTATTGCATTTATATATAATATATATCCCAACTTTTACAGCTCTGCCAGGGAGAATTCCCGGGCCCATTTGGTTTTTTTTTTTAATACAATATAAAATTAGGCCTCTAAACAGGGAAATTTTGGGGTTTTCCCCCCAAAAAAAACCCCCCTGAACCCCTCCCCCGAGAAAAGAAATGGGAAATAAAAGGGTTTTTGTTTTTTTTTAGGGGGATTTGGGGTTTTTGGGGGGGTGAAAGGGGCCAAACCAAGTGCAAATCACGGCTATGTACAGAGGGAGGGAGATCCCACCCTGGGAAAATGGGGAAAAATGGGGAAAAATGGGGAAAAATGGGGAAAAAATGGGAAAAAAATGGGGAAAAAAGGGGGAAAAAATGGGGGAAAATGGGGAAAAAAATGGGAAAAAAATGGGGAAAAAATGGGGAAAAAATGGGGAAAAATGGGGAAAAAATGGGGGGAAAGGAGAGGGGAATATGGAAAAATAGGGGGGAAATAATAGGGGAAAAAAAAAGGGGGAAATGGGGGGAAAAAAGAGAAAAAAATGGGGAAGATGGGAAAAGCTGGGGGAAAATGGTGAATAAAGAAAAAAGGGGGGAAATCGGGGAATTGAGAAGAAAAGGGGAAAAAAGGGAAAATGGGGGGAAAAAAGTGGGAAAAATGAGGAAAAAGGGTGGGATTCCTCTCCCCAAAAAAGGGGGAGCTTGAAGAGCTGAAGGGGTGGGGAGGGATCCCAAAAAAATGAAAAAATCCCCCCTGGGCACCCCCAAATTGAGGGGGGATCCCCAAGAAAAGAGGAAAAAATGGGGGGAAAAGGGGGGAAAAAAAAGGGGGGAAAAAGGGGAAAAAAAGGGGAAAGAAAAAGGCAAAGAAAGGGGAAAAAAGGGGGGAAAAAAAGGGGGGGAAAGGGGGGGAAAAGGGGGAAAAAAGGAAAAAAAGGGGGGAAAAAGGGGAAAAAAAGAGGAAAAAAGGGGAAAAAAGAGGAAAAAAGGGAAAAAAGGGGAAAGAAAAGGGGAAAAAAAGGGGGGAAAAAAAGGGGGGGAAAGGGGGGGAAAAGGGGGAAAAAAGGAAAAAAAGGGGGGAAAAAGGGGAAAAAAAGAGGAAAAAAAGAGGAAAAAATGGGGAAAAAAGAGGAAAAAAGGGGAAAGAAAAGGGGAAAAAAAGGGGGGAAAAAAAGGGGGGGAAAGGGGGGGAAAAGGGGGAAAAAAGGAAAAAAAGGGGGGAAAAAGGGGAAAAAAAGAGGAAAAAAAGAGGAAAAAATGGGGAAAAAAGAGGAAAAAAGAGGAAAAAAGGGGAAAGAAAAGGGGAAAAAAAGGGGGGAAAAAAAGGGGGAAAAGGGGAAAAAAAGGGGAAAAAATGGGAAGGGACCCCCAAAAAAGAGGAAAAAATGGGGAAATAAGGGAAAAAAGGGGAAGGGGACCCCCAAAAAAAGGGGAAAACCAGGAATCTGGGGGGGCTGAACGAGGGCAGTAGAAAGCTCCAAGTGTTAGTGGGGTGGGGCCCCCCCAGGTTGGGGTTTTTGGGGGGTTTTGGGGGGTTTTGGGGGTGTTTTTTGGGGCTCACGAGGGCATGCACTGCACCCGGTCCGGCCCCTCCTCCTCATCGTCCGAAGTGTCCGAGGAGCTCCCGGAATCGTCCGAGGGGGAATCGGCCCCCGGCTCCCGGCGGTGCTGGGAGAGGGAAAAGAGGGTCAGGAATGGGGGAATTGGGGAAAAATGGGGGGAATTGGGGAAAAATGGGATAAAGGAGGGGATTGGGAAAAATTGGGATAAAGGGGGGAATTGGGGAAAAATGGGATAAAGGAGGGGATTGGGAAAAATTGGGATAAAGGGGGGAATTGGGGAAAAATGGGATAAAGGAGGGGATTGGGAAAAATTGGGATAAAGGGGGGAATTGGGGAAAAATGGGATAAAGGAGGGGATTGGGAAAAATTGGGATAAAGGGGGGAATTGGGGAAAAATGGGATAAAGGAGGGGATTGGGAAAAATTGGGATAAAGGGGGGAATTGGGGAAAAATGGGATAAAGGAGGGGATTGGGAAAAATTGGGATAAAGGGGGGAATTGGGGAAAAATGGGATAAAGGAGGGGATTGGGAAAAATTGGGATAAAGGGGGGAATTGGGGAAAAATGGGATAAAGGAGGGGATTGGGAAAAATTGGGATAAAGGGGGGAATTGGGGAAAAATGGGATAAAGGAGGGGATTGGGAAAAATTGGGATAAAGGGGGGAATTGGGGAAAAATGGGATAAAGGAGGGGATTGGGAAAAATTGGGATAAAGGGGGGAATTGGGGAAAAATGGGATAAAGGAGGGGATTGGGAAAAATTGGGATAAAGGGGGGAATTGGGGAAAAATGGGATAAAGGAGGGGATTGGGAAAAATTGGGATAAAGGGGGGAATTGGGGAAAAATGGGATAAAGGAGGGGATTGGGAAAAATTGGGATAAAGGGGGGAATTGGGGAAAAATGGGATAAAGGAGGGGATTGGGAAAAATTGGGATAAAGGGGGGAATTGGGGAAAAATGGGATAAAGGAGGGGATTGGGAAAAATTGGGATAAAGGGGGGAATTGGGGAAAAATGGGATAAAGGAGGGGATTGGGAAAAATTGGGATAAAGGGGGGAATTGGGGAAAAATGGGATAAAGGAGGGGATTGGGAAAAATTGGGATAAAGGGGGGAATTGGGGAAAAATGGGATAAAGGAGGGGATTGGGAAAAATTGGGATAAAGGGGGGAATTGGGGAAAAATGGGATAAAGGAGGGGATTGGGAAAAATTGGGATAAAGGGGGGAATTGGGGAAAAATGGGATAAAGGAGGGGATTGGGAAAAATTGGGATAAAGGGGGGAATTGGGGAAAAATGGGATAAAGGGGGGGATTGGGAAAAATTGGGGGGAATTGGGAAAAATTAGGGGAATTGGGAATAATTTGGATAAAGGAGGGAACTGGGGAAAATGGGGGGATTTAGGGAAAATTGGGATAAAGAGGGGGATTGGGGAAAATTGGGATAAAGAGGGAATTGGGAAAAATGGGGGGAATTGGGGGAATTAGGAAAAATGGGGGGAATTGGGAAAAATTGGGATAAAGGGGGGAATTGGGGAAAATGGGAGGAATTGGGGAAAATGGGGGGAATTGGGGAAACTGGGATAAAGGAGAGAATTGGGAAAAATATGGAGAAAAGAGAGGGAGGAAATAATGGAAAATGGGGGAACTGGGGGGGAGAAGAGAGGAAATAGGGGAAAATGTGGGAAAATGTGGGAATTAAGGGGGAAAAAGCAGGGAAAAAGTGGAGGAAAAAAACCTGGAAAAGTGGAGGAAAAGAAGAAGAAAGGAGGGGGGAAAAAAAGGTGGGAAAAAAGGGGAAAAACACACAAAAAAGCGGGGAAAAAGCGGGAAAAAAGCAAGAAAAAGCGGGAAAAAAGCAGGAAAAAGCGGGAAAAAGCGGGAAAAAGTGGGAAAAATGGGAAAAAGTGGGAAAAAAGTGGGAAAAATGGGCAAAAGTGGGAAAAGGGCAGGAGATACCCGGTGGTGGCGGCGCTGGCGCAGGTGGTGCATGAGGAACCAGAGCATGTGGCTGTCGAACATGTCCGTGTGGTGCAGGCTGTCCTCGTCCCGCTCCACCTTGTTCTTCTTGATCACCTGCGGTGGGAACGGGGCCACATTCCAGGGAAAAGTTGGGAAAAGGAGGGAGAAGCCCTGGGAGAGCCCCACGCACCTCCTTGAGGCCCCGGAGCTCGGTGGGAGCCTCGGCGGTGGGAGCCCAGATCTTGACGTCGTGGTCCAGCCCACTGGTGGCCAGCACCGGCAGGTGAGGGTGCGGCTCCAGGCAGTTCACCTGGGAAAATAATGGGAAAAATGGGAATTGTGGGGGAAAAATGGGAATTGTGGGGCTGGGAATGGGATTGGG